GAACCTTCTAATAGCATTGTCAGAAAGTCCTTGCATAACAAAGAGCTATCTTCCAACATATTGAATGTCTCAATACGACGATTGAATTTATCATGAACACTCAAAAGTTCCAGATATACTTCCTCACATGACATTTGACCGTAAATTTTACTTATAATTTGTAGTTGCCCATGCTGTAACATGATACACAGAAGTAATGGATAAGTATCAGTGACAATTGATCCGATAAATTCTTCAATGCGTTTACCCATTTGATATTTCAACATATTTTCGAACCTGCAATGAAATGATTTTATTATTAACAATTTTCTTTTCATTAGAGATAAAACAATAGCTAAGAACTTATCATGACAATAATAGCAAAAATAATCGATACAAATTTGAATATAGAATAGAAGCACTACTTACTGAACATTTTCATGATTAAGCTTATACGTCCGATCCCATGCCCATACAATAAAGTTTTCCATCAAATAATCAACTATAACTTCAGAACGCAGGACATTATTACGAAAAATATTGGCAGCAACACTTTTGTCATTATGTAGTAATAGAATTAAAGGTCTAGACTAAAATAAAATATAATGCATTTTTTATTATAAGAAATAAAATGTTTTACATTATTATGGAATAATGCATGCACAGTATCGTCATTAAGTGGCCCATAACAGAGATGTGGACCGTACGCTGCATAAAGTTTGAAAAATTCCGATGATAACTTTATTGTTTGTGAACCTTCTGAAATCGAAGAGACATCATTATCTAAATGATTTTGAGATCCTAAATGATTAGCTTATCTAAATCTAAATAAACTTAATTTTAAATATACTGATAATCATTGACGTCTGAAAATTTTTGCTATTGAACAGTTACTTTTATTTAGTATACTTACCTACTATGCTGTTGTCTGAATCATATAATCCACTATACTCATTAGTCTACATTATAAATAAAAGTTCTTGGCATCAATATTATCAAATTTTTACATACATTTGTATCATCAAAAGATGAAGCATCGGTAATTTCACGAAAATCAGACGTACTGGACGATGTTGTCGACTGTTCGTATTTCATTACAAAAAAAAATGAAACGTATCAGACATTTGACGAATAAACATCCTTTTTAAAGACTTATACTAGGAAAAATCCTAACAATTATTGCGCAGTTTATTTGTTTTCCCATCCTATACAAAATACGTTGTGTTTTTATCCGTTCTGCTTATTGTGAAGAAAAATCCACATGACTCATCAGCTAGAAAAAACCGACACAGTTGGCCTTAACTTTCTCCCTTGAAGCGTTACAAAATACAATAACGATAATCTATTTATCATATAATATAAATTACATCTTTCTAGATTATCCAAAACTAACAAGATACGAAATCTAAAGAATAAAAGAAGGCCTAATTTACGTAAAAAATAAATCAGTTTAATGGTTTTTTTGATCGATGCGTATCAAACTTATGAGATGACGAAATAAAATCATTGAAACAACATGATTCATTGTGCATACAATTGCATTCATTCAACACTGTGTATATGTCTACTTATTAATCGATATTCTTTTTCGTAAAAGTAAAATTATATATTTATTTACAACTTCACAGAAAAATAGTTCTGCTCAGTCTATTCGTAGATAACTAAATATTTCGGTAAGATCTGTTCATTTGAATAAACCACATAGGTAGTATGTAAGCCATCAGTTGTTGAATCATAACCATCTGGGCATTTTCGCATGCTTGAATTACCAATACGACTTTCACCAACAATTACATGACATATAAGTATTGCGCGTCCATTAATCGGTGGATCTGCTTTTGCATAGTCTTGGCAGGTAGTAGAACATGAAGAAAAATAAAATCCATGACCGAATGATGTTCCTAAAACTTTAGGTTATCAAAAGTTTTTCATATTATAAAATCTTACCATGTTGACCAATAAGGTCATGATCGAATCCATGTTGGATTATATTATCAGCAGCTGAAGGAGAACATCCATGAAAGAGAAGAAGTTCCGTTTGTTTTGTTCATGACCAATTCGAGCATCAATTATGGCTTTCTGATGTGTATAATCTATAGACCAATCAGGAACATCAATGTTATAAATGCGTAAGATTCGTCTATGTGCAATGGCCAATTTATTCGCTATTTCATCATATTCGATTGAATCTTCTAACAGAATTGTTAAAAAATCATTGAATACCAAAGAGCTATCTTTCGACATATTGAATGTCTCAATACGACGATCGAATTTATCATGAGCGCTCAAAAGTTTCTGATATACTTCGTTACATGACATTGTACCACTAATTTTGCCTATAATTTGTAGTTGTCCATGCTGCAACGTGATGCACAGAAGTAATGGATAAGAATCAACGGCAACTCGCATGATAGATGCTGTAATTTGATCGCCTATCTGACTCTTGAGCATATTTTCGAACCTGCAATGAAATGGTTTTACTATTAACATTTTTCCTTTCATTAGAAATAAAATAATAGCTAAGATTTGAGATCGACAATAATAGCAAAAATAATTGATACGAATTTGAATATAGAACAGAAGCACTACTTACTGATCATCATTGTTGTCATTTGTCCGATCCCATCCCCATACAATGAATTTTTCTGCCAAATAATCACGTATCTTAGGGAAACGTAGGACATTCCTACAGAAAATATTGGCAGCAACGCTTTTGTCATTATGTAGTAATAGAATTAGAGGTATAGACTAAAAAAGAATATATTACATTTTTTTATTATAAGAAATGGAATGTTTTACGTCGGTTAATGCAGTCATAAGAGCATCATCAAGCGGTCCGAAAAAGAGATTCAGACCGCACACTGAATAGTATTTATCGAATTTCCATAAGAGTTTCATTGCTGGTGAATCTTCACCAGTTGAAGAGTCATTACCATTCTCTGAATGCTTTTGAGATCCTAAATGATTAACTTATTTAAATCCAAACAAACTTAATTTTAAATACACTGATAAGCATTGCTGTTTGAGAACTTTCGCTATTGAAGAGTTACTTTTGTTTAGTATACTTACGTTCTATGCTGCTGTTAGAATTGTATGACGTATCATGGTCATTATCCTACCATTACAAATAGAAGTTCTTAGCATGAATATTATAAGTTTTTTACATACATCTGCATCATCAGAAGATGACGAATTAAGACCATCACTATATCCAGATGTGTTGGACGATGTTGTCGACTGTTCGTATTCCATTTCAGAAAAAAAAATGAAACGTATGAAAAATTTAACGAGTATACATCCCTTTTAAAGGCATATATTTGGAAAAATCCTAATTGTTATCGCGCAGTTTATTTGTTTACCAGTCACATATAAAGCACGTTGTGTTTTTACTCGTTCTGTTTATTGTGAAGAAAATTCTACATGACTCATCAGTTGGAAAAAAACAACACTGTTAAATTTAACTTTCTTACTTCAGACATAACCACTTGCAAAATACAATAACGATGATGCATTCATCACATAATACAAACTACATTTCTTGAGATTATTCAGAACAAACAAGATAAGAAATCTAAAGAATAAAAGAAGGCTCAATTTACGTAAAAAAAATGAGTCAGTTTAATGATTTGTTTGCTCGATACATATCAAACTTATAAGATAACGAGATAAAATCATTGAAACTGCATGATTCTTTATGCATACAGTTTTCATAGAAGTTATTTATTTTTGTATCAGTTTTTATGTAATTAAATTATTTTTGTTTAAATAAATATTGTTGAATAGAAAATTTCAATGAATTAAAGAGAAATAGCTATTTAATTTTTCTTTTTCTGTGAAAAGGAAGTGACCCATGATCGACATATAAAAAAGCAAGATCATCAACATGAAGACCTAGAAAAACTAGTTAACACATAACTTTGTTATCTTCAATTAAGCCAATAAGAAAAATATCATGTTATCTACAGACGATAGCTCTAAATTAAATTTTCTTTGATTGACAGTTCATCGTACTGTCAGATTCTCATTCTATAATTTTTAAGTTATCTAATGTGGAGTTTATACGATCAATGAAATCTGATAACAACGCAAGCATTTGTAATCACATGTCTTAGAACGATAGTGTATTATATATGATCGTTCCTGATGTCTGTATATTCATCTTCGCTACCGTCAAGACATGACAGATTATTTCTTATGTACTTTTGAAAAAGAACTAGTTAACCTCAATAATACGTTTACAGACATTTTATAACAGTGCAAAGGAGTTCATATTTATCTCTGTGAATGAACTCCATTACTTTACTTATTTACTGATTCGAATTGCATGTTCGAATTGATTGATATGTTCAGTACAAATAAACTTTGGCAATCTATACCGACGAAATTTCCGTTATATCATCCTTACGTTTCCTTGTCTCCATTTTCTTACATATAGCACTATAATTTAAATTAGTAGAATAATTATGACATGAGATATATATATATATATATTTATAATTCACTTGAACTGTAGACCTAGATAGTATATTTAAACCTATTGGCCTAGAATAAATTATTGGCAATTATCAAGTATTTTGGAAACACAATAATAAAGATACAGTTCATTCTGTTCTATCATGGAATTTTGTCTTTAATAAAAAGAAAACTAGTGTTTATAAGAAATAATCATATATAAAATCAAAGTTATCTTTATTCTTTTTATGAAAATTCAAAACAAAAACGAAAAAAATAAACTATTATTAGTTGATTAAACTAGTTTTATTTTCTGTTATATGAGTATTAAAATAAATTCATTACTGTTCCTTTCCGTTATTCGTATACATAAAAAGAAAAACAAACAAATAAATCAGAAATGATAACCAGGCGCAAACAAAAGAAAAGGTTATATACAAATACAGAAAAAAAGAAAAACGAAATGATAAAAATATGCATGCATATGATGCCAATAGGACTGTTTCATTTCTTAGCAGATATTGGTAATAAACCAGTAGACTTTTTAATACATATACCAAATGTTATATTCCAAAATGCCATGCGAAATTGTTTAGAACAATATGCATATATAAATGGATTGATAACTGAATTAAAGTAACCAAGCCATGTTATTAATGTACCAGTTAAATCACTAAATCCATGTATTTTTGGTGGTATAACATACATAATAAAAAATGGTAACCAAAAAAGAATAAAACCACCAACAACAATAGCTAATGTTTTAGCTGTTTTTTGTTCTTTCATAAAACGTATACGTTCACGACGATGAACATCATGTGATGGATTTGTAGCATTTCCAGCTAGTAATGGATGATGATGATGATGATGATGATGCGAAGATAAAACAACATTTTGATGAGAATTTCCTCTAGCACGTAGATTTGTATTTGATACTACTATTGGTGTACGAGTTGGTGTATCATTTGACGATAATTTATCATCGTCATCGTCGTCATCATTTGTCACAGATTGATTTGGACTAAATTTATAGATTTGTTTATTCTTCTTTTCGCACCAAGTATTCAACGGACTAAAACAACAGCAACAAGAACATTTTGATTTCTTCCGATTATTTTCACTTGTACGCTGTGTTAATGATAATGATTGTGTAGATTTAGCTAATGCTTGATTATTATTTAATGGAGTTTTATATTGTTGTTTAAAATTTTCGATTAATAATTCTGATGGTGTTGATTTTGCTAAACGTGAAGGTTTTATTCGACGATTTATACGTGTTTGTTCAGGAGGAGATTTTTGTGCATCGCTATTTAAATATGTTGAATTATTAGATACATTTTGATTATATAACGATGAAGATTTTGATATAGTATTTGGATAATTAATCTCATAGGCTTTTGTTTGATGGAGCATTGATAATCGTGCTATATCTTGTGTTAATTCACTTAATGATTTCGTTATTTTATTGTCTTCATTAGATAAGAGATTACAATTGGCTTTGTTCTAAAAATAAAAAAAATATTTGATCATATCGAATTCTATGAATAGATGTTGATTTGTGAAATGTTTATGGATCAATCGAGGTTTGTTTTTTTTGTGTCAATAATTCTATGTCTCATTATTCAATGTTAAGAGTACGACTTCTCCAGTGGTTGAATTTGCTTCATTAAGTTGACGTGCATATTATCGAGCACTATTTGATTACCCTCCAGGAAAGAAAGTCTCGATTAGACATTGTGTTGATTCAATTTTCTCTATTAAGATCAGTACAAGATTTGATTAAATCATCAACTTATTTCTTTTAGTATAGATGCGAATTTCATAGTAAAGAAAAACACAATCAGTACTAATTTATATTGTTAATCAACAACAGATTTTCATTTTTTTTCTTCAACAAAATTTAATTTTCTTGAATAAACTTCTTGATAAAAAAATTCCATTCGAATTAAGAACATCATTCAGTGTAAGTTGTCATGTTTTATTGAAGAGAAATCTGATCTTCTTAGTCACTTTCTGACATATCTATATTAGATATCGGATTTAAGTACAGAAATTAAAATCCTTGATCTTTGTTTTCAAAACAGGATTATATATTTCCTACTCATCACGAGTACAAAAAGATTAAGAAAACATGCGTGTGTATTTTATATTTACTTAAAGGGTGAGTTAACATTGGTAATATAGTACGAACCTATCAAATTTTTTTATAGATGAGTGAGTAAGTTAAACTCTTTAATCGACATATTTCCAGCGGAAAAATATCTCTATATATATCCTATATGAAGATCATTATTTATTTTCTGCATATAAAACTTTTCTTTCCTGCTGATAAAAACCGGAATTCTCGGTCACTGAGTAATCGACTATATATAACAAATTTATTTAATAGATTCAGAGCAAAAAACACGTTTCCGGAAGTATGCTATTTTTATTAATTAGAGTATTCCAACTTACTGATTGTTTATTATTAAAATTTGTTGAATTATCATCTATCATCGTTGATGTTTGTAATTGTCCATTAGGATTAAATTCTGTAGGTAAATCACGTTTAGTTCTTGTTGGTGATTGTTCGAATGAATGTGATCGACATTTAATTAATGGTGGTAATGAATCTTGAAATGTTTTTAATTCATAACATGGTGAATCACCGGAACGAAATTGATATTCAGCACCAATACCTGATAAATAATTACGTCGATAATGATAAATTTCATCAGATAAATTTGTCATTTTTTTCGTTGATATTGTACATGGACGACAAAATATTGTCGTTGTAGTTGTTGTCGTTGTTGTTGTCGTTGCTTTTTTTGATATTGATAATGGTGTATTTGGTGCAGATTTCGATGTATTAATATGAGTATTTTTATTTGGAAAACGATATATAAAAGAATGATTTTGTTTTTGTTTTGAACGACTATCATTCACTGTTTGATGAGTTATAACTAATTTATCTTCATGAGATTTTTTTTGAAAACATAAACAGCAACAACAAAAAGATGTTCTAGTTCGTTTTATTAAATTTTTATTATTATCATAGGTACCATCTGAAGAATTTTTAGCATTTACTTTACCATTTTGATTGGTTTTTAAAAGATTTTGTGCAGGTGAAATCGTATCTTTGTCATGAAATTTTTTAATTATATTTTCACGATCATAAACAACCATAAATATACGTATATAAACAAATATCATAACAACAGCTGGAATAAAAAATGACCCAAGTGCTGAATAGACAACATAACCTCGAGCATTATTTAATTCACATTTGTGTTTTACTACAACCTAAAAAAATAAGTAGATCATATTATTTGAAAGAAAGCATTTATCTTCTTGTAAACAAAATAAAACCATGGTTTTTAATCTCTATAAATTATGAAATTATTCAAAAGAAGTATTACATTCTATAGGTATGATGAAAATATTATTTTGTTTTTTTTACGAACTATCAAATCTTCTTTTAATTTATCTATTTTCTTTGTTGTTATAAATCTATCCCTTGGGTAGTTATTTCATAAATAATGTAATAGAAAAAAAAACAGATAGTAAGATTATTGCTTTATTCTTTCAAGTTTTTTTCTTCTCGACATTGTTTATCTTTTATATCAATTATCTAATCAATGATAGTCTGACATTTGAAACAATAACAAGCATTTTTCTTTTTTTATTACAATCATACCAGATCATATCTATTGGGATCTCGCCAACCAAATATAGGTGGACATGTAATAACAATTGAAACAATCCATACGAGTAATATCATAACACGAGCGAGAAATTTCGATCGATATGCTGTATATGTTAATGGTCGCGTGATAGCCATATAACGATCAATAGATATACAAGTTAAATTAAGTATGCTAGAAGTACATAAAAGTACATCGGATGATACCCATAAATCACAAAGGATTAAACCCAATGTCCATGACCAATCTCGATAAAAATAAAGTATACTTAATGGAAGAACAAATAATGCAACTAGTGCATCAGCAAATGCTAGTGATGCTATAAAATAATTAGTTACTGTTTGTAAACGACGTGTACGATAAAAAGCACATATAACAAGTAAATTGCCAAAGAATGCACTTATATCGATTAATATCATACATATTGATAAGAATATTCGAATCCAAATAGGCATTGTTGATTTGATTTCTGTTGTTGTCGTTACATTGCTGTTTAATGTCGTATTGACAAGTTCGACAAACGTCGGAGATGTTAAAACACTCATTGTAATCATACATGATGCATATCTTGAAGTTTAAAAGAATAGATTTGATAAACAACATAAATAAATAGAAGATTTTTGAATATTTAAAAAAAAAATCGAAATAAACAACATGACATAGAAGGATAAAGAACATCAATTTTAATTCTATGATAATAAAAATTCTCATTAATTTCTCTTTTTTTTTTTCTTCTTCATTCTACTAGTCTTTCCCTCTCTCTATTTTTTCCTTTCGATTACCTCTAGGATACATGCTCGCTCTAATTATACAAAAAACTAAACGAGAAAGAAACGCAAGAGAGAAGACAACTGTAAAAATCCTTCTTCCTTTTTTTTATAGTTTTCTCTTTGTTTTTTTCTGTCTCATTGAATTAATCCTTATTCCTCAAGCGCTCTTTCTTTTTCATAAGCAGAAACAACAAAATAATAATCACAATATGATTAGTTCTATGATCATATTTACTTGTCTCTCTATATCTATGATATAGATAAGCAAACTCTTTATTAAATTATATACTACCATTTTTGATATGTTTCACCGTTCTATTTTATATGTATTTTCGTCATAAGATTTCATTTATCTTGCTATCAGAAAAGAAATAATGGACAAGATATATCTATATCTATATCTATGTATGTATACGCATATAAAAGACATCTATGAAAATATAGAGAAGAATTTGATAGATATAGACTATTTATTAAGAGAGAGAAAGTGCAGGATAATAAGATTGACGGCTCTGTCATCATTCCAGACAGAAGAAGCTCTAATCACAGGCAGTTGTAGATGACAACGGGTATGCGAATAAGCCGTCGTCACCAATGATTTATGGCAGCTATGTGTCAGCTATTTGACTTCTTACTAAAGATCATATTATCGAGCACTATCGGCAATGAAAAGAGCTCATGATATCCTGACTGTTTGTCTTGTGGACAATTAGCGTTCTTTAATATCGATATCGGAAAAAGAAAAATAAGATTGATACACAAACAACTATTATCTAATAAATAATAAACAACGAATAGAACAAAAGTCTAATGATCATATCAAAGATCACGATAGATTTGCATTCGTCTAATTATCAAGTATAATAAAAAAAATACTCTATTTTCATGATCTCTATCCCGTCATAGACATGCAAATATAACCATTTACTTGATTTCTCTTAGAAAAAAACAAAATCTCATATCTGTCATCTGTTGCAGTTTATATATAGTACAGACGTCTATATAACTATTGTTTGACATCGGTAATAGGTAGAATATTATGACACATACTCTTATTACTATCATTTACTCGAATAATTTGTAATATAAGTTCTTACTTGTACTATAGGTTGAGGGGGAAAAAAGAGAGATGAATAGAAAAAAATATGAATGATTTTTTTTTCATGTTTTTATTAGTGAGTTAAAACTTAGAAATGCCCTGCATCTCTACTATACAATGGCATTGTGTATAACCTTATGAAGTAGAATGAACATGAAAGAAATCTGGTTCAAACGGAAAAGCGAATTAGTACAATGCGTCTTTGTATGTAATAGACTTCTGTAAAGCGCAAGAATAAACATCCTACCATAACTAAACAGCTTGATCTAGTAAAAATAATAGACATGTCGATTAGTTTACGTTCAGCAGAGTTATAATTTTCATAACAATATACTGTCGGCGATTCATTTCAATAATAAGAATAATAATCCATACAATTATAGTTCAAAAAAATTGTATGTAAGAATATTACAGATATATTGACAGCAGAAAGAAAAACTACATCTATTACATATCATAATAGTCAAGTTAATTATTAGCTAACTACCATAAACAATATAATAGATAGTCACAGAAAAACGAAATCAGGATAAATATATAGTCTAGGAAGCTTATTTCTATTTATTATTTAAAAAAATGCTTGTCTATATATTCTCGTATTTCAAAAATCTAATCAAACAATTATATGTCTGTATAGAGCATTTCTCGTTTTTTTTTTCTTCTTAGGATGCTTGTGCTAAATGCTTTCGTCCTTAGGATAACATTGTTAATGTTCTATTATCTATTTATTATAAATAACAAAGATATATCATATTAGATATCCGTATATATATATTGGTCTAAATCTTTATCAGTATATTAGTATTTTTATCTATAAAAAATTTCAAAAAAAGAATAATTTCATGTCCAAATATTATTTTAATTCAATAAAATAAATCTGAAAGTAAAGATTTGCATCCTATCAATTGTGTGTGGGGTTTATTCATGCAATCAAATATAAGACATAGAACAAGAAGAAGAAAAAAAAGAAATTGTTAGCAGAGCATGTCTGACGATTATGATTACGCCTGAGAAGTCGTTGACAGGAAATTAGAGAAAGACGATCGATTCTATTAATAAAAAAAAAAAGAAAATTGTCGAAATATGACCTTGCATAAGGCATATGTACGTTAGTATTCTGATAAATAACAGAAGCAAATAATTTTATTCGAAGATTTGTCGAAAAGAATGACTAAATCACTCGACACAGCTTTTTTATTTCATTCAATTGAATGACAACTCAATATAAAAAGCAAGTAAATCTATCGGTATAATATCAAATGATGTGTCACATGAGAGTAACCTAACAGCTCTTTAATACTGACACTGATGTTGATAAGTGAGAAGAACTTCATGAAAATGACAGGTCCAAGTTGTTACAAAAGACGAACAAAAAACACTGGCATATTACATTAACATTATTGTCTTAGATTGATTCGTATATGGAATGAAGCACTCGTTGACATATTTTATTAGCTTCTATATTGCAAAACACTAGTGACTTAGAAAAACTATATATATATTCAAAAATATATTACAATAGATAAAAATAGATTAACTTGTATAAAAATCAACTGACTAAAATAGTTCATTATGATCGATTGATGGTATTAGTCATATAGTCTTGATGAATAACATTATAAAACTCATAGAAAAGAAGACGAAGAAAAAAAAAGAGGGATGAAAAATAATAAATATTATTGTATTATTGCTAAAAGCTCTATAAAACTGTAGTGTGATTATTACGATGGTATATATATGTCGTTTAGTAAAACTGATTTATAATAAAAACATGATATTTCATGGTTATAAAATCTTATTTCCTTTACTTTTGAAAATACATTCAAAAAAAAACTAAAGGTCATTGGATCTATAAATCAATTTTCCTACTCACTGAAAGTTCACAATGAGAAATAGTAATATGAATATCATATTAAAATACAAGAAGAAAAGGATCTTTAATAGTTTCATATATTATTTGATTATAATTTATCTTGTGTGCTTATTCTATAAATATCCGACATTTCCATATGAAAGCATGCTGTCAATTAAATGAAATAAAATAATTATTTGTGTTTTTTACACAATCGACTTTTAGATAACTTTTTGACATTTGTCTACTTATGTTTAATGAGGTTCAAATATGTAACTATGAGCACAAACTACGGCATGACAAGAAGCTATATAAATTTAAAAAAAGAACTAAAGTTAAGTTATACATCTTATCCTAAAGAGATCTTAGATAAACAAATATATATATATATATATACGTGCCATTTCAAATGTGGATATTTGTGTGGGTTTGATACCACCTGCACTTCGTTTGATATGAAACAAATCGATAAAATATGCTTTTCAACGGAACGGAATGTCACCCGAAGCGCCGTATGTGTATATATGTTGGTGTGCATGATAAGAGAGTATGATCGTAGATGAGAAGCATAACGAGAGAGAAATCAACACGAGAGAGAGAGAGGGAGAGAGAGAGTCTATGCACGAGCTAATCTGATTGACAGCGACGTCGACTAAGGTTAGAAGAATCTCCTGTTGTTTTCTTCATGTTGTCAAAAACCGATGATGTTAGGAAAGATAAAAAGGAACAAATGATGCTTTGTGATCGTTTGTATATGATGTACCGATCCAGCAGTATAGCAGTCATACGGAGTGTTATAAGTGGATCATCTCGGGTTTCTAATATATTGTTACAAAGTTGAATATGGCCTTGGTTTGGAAAGGAGAAGAAGAAAAAAAAGCCCTTCGTAATCGTAAAGCAAATAAGATTGCATTGTCGCCTCGAAACAGGCATTTGACACTATCATTTATCCGAACGATTGGTTTGTTGATGATCATTCTTGAAATTGATCTTCTTGCCAGCTTTAAGACTCGTTTACCAACAGGATGGAAGAATGACTTTCATCATCTTTCTTATTTCTTCTCTTTAACTTCCTATTATTTAATATTGACAGCTAATCATTATCATACGTATTTTTATCCTGAAGCAATATGCAATAGGTTATATGGAAACAACAATAAAAAAAGAGAAAGAGTAATAAAGAGCTAAATAACTTTTCTTTATACCAATAGATATCAAATTTACTTTTCTTTTTTTCTCTCTCTCTCTCGCTCGCTCTTTTTTTCCTCTTCTCTCTCCTTCAATCCATTAATATTTTGTCAACACGTTCGAGTCATGCATATAAGAGCTAAGTTCGCTTGCTTGATGCAAATCAGAAATCAGTTTCATGCTTTTCTAATAGAAAATTTTTGGTCCGTTTCACGCAGTCACAACAAAATAACATGAACCAAAAGAAAACAAGTGAAAAAAAGGTCAGAATAACCATAAATTAATAGATTCCATTAGTAATACCAGAAGATAACGTATTCATCTGCATCCTTAAATAAACATATACAAAAAAAATGGATATATATATTATATATATATATATCTGTTTATTGGAATATTTAAAGAAAGACATTGAAATTGAGGTTGTATATGTAAAGGAAGAAACAAACAAAACAAATATCTGATATTTAATGTTTTGCATGCATATTACTTAATAGAAGAATCATGGTTTTTTTTTTCTTAAATATACAAAACATGTAAGTCAGAACTGAAGAAACAAGGAAGAGTAGGAGGAAGATAGAAATTCAAATATTTAAATATGTGTTTTTTGTCGTTTTGACACCGGAGATTCATCGGTAATGTGAAGTTCAATACCACTATCGTATTCAGATGTTATAGACTAAAGAAAAAAATATAATTTATAAATGTTTTAGTTTTAAAAACAAATTATGCATACATTAAAAACATTGGTTAAATATTCACAATGTTCATTTTTTGCCTGTAGTTGCTCATTTTCTTTTGTTAATTCATCAAGTAATTCATGAAGCTATATAAATAATAAAGAAATGTTCCTATATTTTTATTTATTCTTAATTGATACATACTTGTCGATTCTCTCGTAATTCAGTATCAAGTTTTATTCGAGCACGTTCCGCCAAAATTTTCCAATAACAATCAGATGCTCGATCTATAATATGAAAGATCATATATATATAGTATGATCAATAGGATATTGACATATGTAATATAAAATAACCTTCATTGTAATCAATGTAAATAGACAACAATCAAATGAGATTTTTTCATTGATTGCATTCCATCTATCAGTGTTGTCCAATAATATAAAATTGACATATGTCATTATCGTATTGTAGATCAAATATTGCTTAATTGTCTTCTCAACATATTTACTAGGAAGATAAATCTTTATAATGAGTTTTTTTTCTTTTGTCTTTATTACCTTTAATAAATTTTTCAAATTCATCATCCGCCATATTTTTGCCTTGTATTAACATATCATCCAAATAATTTGGTGTATTTGTATATTTGGAACATTTATCATTAATATCTGTTTGTATAGAGATTGATTGTGTTGATTTATATCGTGTTGGCGAATAATTTTCAATTGAATTTAATCGAAAATTTTTTTTTTTCGATGGAGATAATGATATCGGTTTTTTGATCATAATTAATAATGAAAACAATCTGAAATTTTTCTATTATGATATATTTATGAAAAAAAAAAATGGAATGACATATCTTAATAATAAAAATTTACATGAGCGTAAAGCGAAATTACATATGCATCAGCAAACTTTGATAGATGAAAAAAAAAAAGAAAGAAAATCTTCATGTAAAAAAAGAATCAAAGATGAATGAACACACGTATTTAATCCATTCTCTTATCCGAGTATATAATGAAAATCTTTAAACACATACACCTGTTCTTAAATTTGTTTGATAAATAAAAGAAGAAGGAAAAAGAAAAAAGAGTTCACAAAATTTAATCGTGGAAATTTTTTTTTATTCAACTGGTCGTGTACGATTAAGTGCTGATTGTAATTCACCTGTAAAATTCGCTTGTTGTAAACGAACTCGACCTTGAAAATTTTCCGAATTACGTAAACTATTCAATATATCTTTTGTTTTTCCAAAATAAATCGAATTTAATGTTTGTCGAATTTTATTTTCCATTTCTTCAACCATTTTACCAATATTAATAATATGTTGAGAGAAATCCGTTATTTGATGATCCGATTCAAGTTGTCGTGTTAAACTTCCACCTAAATTCATCATACCTGACATTGTTTTATGTGTTTGCAACCAAAGCATGACTGTCGATGTTAATTTATAATGTGCTGAACGACCACTTTGTTTTTCTTGTACTTCAACAACATGAATTGAATCCCAACAACCTTTAATTTTTTTACTTCCATCACCCACTTTTTTTATTAGTATAACACCAGCAAAACCATTTTCAAGGTCCCAAAAATAAACTGAGGAAACACCTCCTTCAAAATACATTTCACGATATTGTTCAAATGCTTGATTTGCTTCTACTTCAAGTTGACGAAGACGATCCGATGGAAGATTTCCTGAATAAAAATAATCAAATTCGTTTTTTTTTAATTATTTTGCAAAAATTAATTGAATTTCTTTTTATAGATTATTCGATATATATTCTGTTTATTTTTAGAGATAAATATTCTTTAAAAACTAATATATATTTAGATATAATAAGATTACTCTATGTAATATGGAACTATTCTTATTCTCAATTTCATTATATCGGAATTAGGAATGATCCGAAAATAAAAATAGCAATAAATTTTTTATCTATTTATTATTTTAATTTTTCTATAAATATATATAAAATATGACCTAGGAATTGTATTTTAACATAATAAACTAACACATATCTTCTCTCCGGCTTGTCTGTAGATTAATAAAGGTAATTTTTTTAATTATAGAATGAAGAAAAAAAGAAACCTATTTATATACTCTTATTTTGTTACTTTATATAAGTATTAATTTAGCTAAAAATAATCTACTCTCAATAATAAATGTCAAATCTATAAAAAGTCTTTCATTAAAAAACAAATAATCAAACCATCAAATGCTGGTGTATAAGTATTTGTCCATGGTGATCGATATGAATCGCCATCACGATTATAATCACAGAGTAAATAATCTTTTCCAACGGCTCGATCACGAACAACTTTAAGTGGTTGATCAACAGCGGCTAAAAGTTCCTCAGTTAAATCGGGCACAAGATCAATAAGATCTGAAAGATTTTTTTCCACTTGTTGTGGTGGTAAACGTCTCATTAAATCGAGTGCACAATCCAGTTGTGACTCGATCGATGCATTTGTTGTTGTATTGCTCGTCATCTGAAAAAAAATATACATTATCATCATCATCATCATCCAAAAGGATAAATCTCAAATAAACAATATTTATAATCGAAAAAAAAATTTAAATATATAAAAAAAAACGAGAAACGAGTATCTTTTTGTGAAATCATTCATTGATTTACGCTTGTTTTCCCTTTCTTCCCGCCGAGCGTAAAACTCGATTTACCTAAAATTAGAAAAAAAGAAAAAAATATCAGTATAATTTATATAGAAGAAAAAAAAGATATTTGTTTCATAATTGTCTCAATCAAAATAGAAAAAGACATGCAGAAAAATAGTTTGAGAAGATCAGTCAGTCAGTCAGTTATAAAGCATCAGTCAAAGATAGCCACTCAAAGAAGAGATGTATCAATATTTTGTTGATCTCATATGAGCAAAATAAAGAACAAAAGAAGATATTATATATTGTGATATTGATAATCAAACTAAAAATGAGTGTAGTTTTTTCAGTTTAATCTATCGCACACATACACAGATGCACGACGTTGATGAAATATACGTCGTATAAATTTGGTCAACTAAATAGCAGAATGATAACTAGGCGCGTGCTTTGGCATTATTAGCATCAATATATTTCTTAAAATTAAATCTGTATTTTGTTTCAGATTCTTTTTTTTTTTTGTAATGTTAAATCTATTCCATCACCCGTAAGAAATATATTCTCACAATGACTTACAGTATCGCCTATGCCTAGACGAGGTAATAAATTACGATCAGCAGCTTCTTTGTTGGCTGCTATAGTACGTAATAAGATGATTTAAAATCAACATTATCTATTATATTTTCGTATAGATTTACTTACTTTGTGGTTTATACAATTCTTTCATAAGAGCAGTAAAAGCTTCGACGATGCGTGCACGATCACGGAGATTAACAAACCATACACGATTACCAACTAATAATGAATAAGAAAAACGAAAAGATGATTTTTATGAATTTCACTCGAACTAACCAAAACATTTATCTTTCGCTGTCCATTGTTCGGCTTCAACTTGACTGAAACCTAATCGTCGTTCATCAGACACAACTTCATTACATAAAACGAGTATTGGTATAATCTTCAAAACAAAAAAAAATGTTTTTTTGTTATTGAAAAAGTCAATGAATTCATTTAGAAACTCACTTCTCTTTTATTTTTATCTGTTGTTTTAATTTCGATTATATCTTTAATAGCTTTACAACATTCAAAAGATTCATTTGAACGATTATCAAATACAAGAATAAGAGCCTATAACGAAATATTTAATTGAAGAAAAAAAACAACAACAATAAACTCACGTCAACAAGAGTCATTAAATGGCGAATATTACTAAATTCATCACTAGGAGAATTTTTCTACAAATAAAAAAAAACATTTTCTTTATATAACAAAATAAAACTAATCTCTTACCACACCACCAATGTCATGTACACGAAGTACAATATCTTTTTCATTTAAACTATTATCATATTGTATACAATATGTATCTTCAATTGTTTCTCTATATGGCTAAATAAATATAAATTGAATAAATTATAATATTAATAATATATATATATGTATCAACCTTTTCTTCAACACGTCCATAAGTTAATTGTTCAATTAATGATGTTTTACCAACTGCAGTTTTTCCCCAAACTAATACTTTAAATAATTTACCCATAATAAGATCTTTTCATTACAATAATCTCATTTTTATATCTAAAAAATAAGTGTTATAAGAACAGTAAACAAAGAAAAAACATCAAATAATGTTGGGACCATTTATATTGGCGTGTTTGTTTTTTTTTTATTACAATATCTAAGTGAAGTAATAGACAAATCCGAATGCATCTTTTTTTTTTGTCTTATTTGTTTTCATATTTACACGCACAAGAAAAAGAAAAACGAAACAGAACGAAAAAGAAAACCTAGTGATAATGATCGGTATCTCTCCTCTTCATTATTCATATCGATGTTAAATAACGACATAAGAAAAAACAAAAGAAGACACAATGTCCTTCAAGAAACCGAAAAAAAAACATTGTTTAATAAATTCATTTCGGTCACTGTTGATAGAAGACATGTTTAGAAATATAAATATATGTATGTATATATATATATGAGATAAGCAAGAAAAAAGAAAAGATGGAAACAAGTTTTTTTTTTTATAAACGAAGATAATCACAAGAAAACGGACATAAAATTCTTGCTCATATGCGTGTAAATTGAAAAGTAGATATTTTTTTGTTGGTTGGTTTTATTTATGATGACTTTTTACCCATATTACGTAAGACTTGTGATGGGACAAATTGAAGAGTTGAGCCACCTGACATACGAGGTGAATTCACTTGTGGTGTTGTTGGTGTTTGTGAGGGTGGTGAATTATAAGATGTCTGAGGACTAGACATAGTTTGAGGTGATCCCATACGTGTATTATTTGATTGCATCGGAGATTGTGGTTGTGGGTGTTGTTGTTGGACTACATTGGGAGTAATTAGCGGTCCAACTGGAAAGCCAGGATATGTATTTGAAAGATTTAAATCAAATGGTTGAAATGGTGGTATATCCATAGATCCGTTGGATATTGCAAACGATGTTTGATTTGTATTAAATTGCTGGTTAGATTGTTGAATTGCACGTTCAAGAAAAGCAAGAGATTGTTGTTGTTGCTGATGTTGATGTTGTTGTTGAGATGGTGATGAGATATTCAATGGTGATTGTTGTTCGAATTGAGAAGGTAATAAGGAAGAAGGTGGTGCACGTGTCATATTTTCTATTGCTTGAGCAAATACTAAAAAAAAAACAACAAAAAGAATGTTTTCAAGATTTATTGTACTTATCAGAATCAAGATAAGAAGCAGTTAGTTACATACATGTTTGTGACAATTGCTGACGTGGTGGACTCTCCCACGTTTGTTGACGAGGTACAAACGGATCATAAGATTGCTGTTGCTGTTGTGATGCTGGAATAATCTTCTGTGATTGTTGAACGGATATAGGTATTTCATTATGTTTCTGTTGTATGATTGGTATTGGTGGTGGTGGAATTGTATCCCATTGTTGTTGAGATAAGTTTTGAACTTGTTTTGATTCTTGAATGGCACGAAGAAATAAAGATTCTGGCCCTGGTTGCGAAGGAAAAGTTGTTAAAGATGTTGTTTGTTCATTTGTAACTGGTAAAACCGAATTTACCGATGAAAATATTTTTTCTAATTCAGGACGTTTATCAATCGGTGATGGAAGTAATACTGAACTTTGTTCAGATGATGATGTAGGTAACAATGATCTTGTTGTTGATGGCGATTCAGATGGCTTCGATTTTTCTGTTGTTATTGGAGATGAAGAATTCACTGCCGACTGTTGCTCTTTAAGAGTCGAATTTATTACTTCAATAAAATTAGGTTTTGCTGGTGCAGATGTTGCTGCAGGTGCAGATTTTGGTGTAGTTGCTGAATTATTCTCATTTGCAGTTCGTTTAAGAATTCGTGTAGGTGGTGGTGGTTGTTGCTGTTGTTGTTGTTGTTGTGCTTGGCGTGATGTTGATGGTTGTTCTAATAATCTTTTTTCCCATGCATTTTCATTTGGCATCGATCGTGTTTGTGAATAATTAGTATTTGATCGAATACGAAGTGAATGAGAATAATTAAGTAAATGATATGAACGAACTTTAATTCGACATTGTTGATTATTTCCACCAAGTAAAATAGCATCAAGACTTGTTTTTGGTAAATTATCAAATAAAACTTCATAGTAAGCATCTAAATGTGTTTGACCAAGCATAATACCAATAATTGTACCTCGTGTACCAAGTGGTACACCAGTACCAAGACGAACAGTTATAACGCGATCATAGAGTTCATAACGAGTCTCAATATCAGGATCGCACATACCAAATGATTCATTCGGTTTAAATATTCGATTGGCTTCGATAGGAATTAATTTAGTTTTTTCATTGGAATTTTTTATTGGATTTTTCTATGAATGAGAATATCATAAATGAAATGAAAGTTTTTAAGAAAAAAGAACAAGAAATCTTACTGAAAAATATGATTTTGTTGATCGATCGATTTCTTTAATAACAGGTGCATCTAATACTTGCCAAGCACCATCCATAAGTGGTACAGAATATGTAGGTAATTTTTTAATCCATGTACGAACTTCTTCTAATCGAGATCGTCTATAATTTTTTAATAAATGAAATCAGTTTTGCTTAATTATCTATATTTACCCTTTTCGTGCTGGCCATATATTTAATTCAGGATAAGTATCATCTTTTGGGTTTTTTACTAATGTAGCAATAATTTCAGGAAATCTAAAAATAATTAAATTAAAACTTTATGTTTATTCTATTAGAAATAAATACGAACTGTAACATATAATCTGAAATAATAAGTACAGCAGCATCTGAATAAAGCCATACTTGTTCTTCTTTTTTCGTATAACCATAAAGCTATAGTATTAAAATAATAAAAATTTTATATTCAAAAAACATTTCGTATTTCTTTACCTGTTTAATAGGTTTATTTGCTTTCCATGAAAATCCAACATTAACACGATTGATATTTTCACGTCGACCTGTTCCAGTTGTTATAATAATAGTTCCTGTTAATTTTGATACAACATTTGGCATTGTTCGTAAATATTCAGCAACTTGTTGTGCTGTCCAATAATTTAATTGTAAACGATCAAGTCTATTTGACAGTGCATGTAAATCAGGTTGATTTGTTGCATCTGATGGTTCCATACGACATTCAACTGTATATTTTCCATTATTATCTTTAATAATCTGTTGTACATAACTCATACAAGAATAATAAGGTGTTTGTAATGAAAAAATTGGATCATCTTTTTTAAAACCCTCATAAATTGTTCGAGGAAATTGAAATAAATCATATTTATAATTTGTTATTGTAGATATTGATGTTTGTAATGGATAAGCCATAGCTTGATTTGAAAAACACATTGTTGTTTGGCATTTATCTGATGTTGATGAACATTTTGTACGATAACCAATTAATGGACATACATAAAGTAATAAAGGTATTGGTCCTATCATTACACCTTGTCGATTTTCATAACGACGATTAATAGTAATTGATTTGGTATATTCCATTTGTGATTGCATAGAATCTAATGTATAAGTTTTGATTGCTATTGATTTGATATTTTCATCCGAAATTTCAAATGGATATCGAGAAACATAGATTGGTGTTTGAGTATAATTTTTATTTTCATGTGTATCATCATTTATTGATGAACGAAAACTAAAATGTGAACCACCAGGTATATTTGACCATGTATAAAAATGTCGAAAATCACTTATAGCACAAACAATACCATATTCAAAATGTGGCCAATTAACAAAAATACGTTTACCAAGATAACGTTCAATTAATAATTGACGATTTGTTATTTGAACCGAAGGATTATTATCATTATCTTTTGGATCGTATTTATCATCATATTGTATACAATCGGGATCAGGTTGATATGTTAAATTTAATGCAAGTGTTGTTGATTTTGATCGTGATTCAAATAGATCAACAACACCTTTTTTAAATTCGAATTTATAAGGTAAAACATTTAGAACCGGAAATTTTGGAAAATATATCATATTTGCTTCATCAAATCGTCCATGTTTAAAAATTAAACCATCTGGTCGATAATAATCAAGTGAATATTCAGTACATACTGCACATGTTTCTTTTAATGGTGGAAAATATGGATTATTAGCAATTATATTACTAGTTGGATGTAATGTTGGTGTTGACTTGAAACATAAGGATGGTAAATGTTGATTACGAATTTTCTCATCAGCATCAAGATTTAAATAATATTTTTGAATAGAATTCAATAGAAGTTCTTCTTCGATAAATGGTAAAAGAACAATCGATTCCCAATCTTGTTTTTTTTCATTTTGATCTAATTGAAAATCTTCAGGATAGAAATGTAACATTGGACTATCATCATCAATCATTAATGATTGTAAACCAGTTGGTAATAAATAACGACTAGTTGGAGGAAGAACACCTTGAAAGAAAAAAAAACACACACACATTAAAATTTATAATGTTTTCGATTTTATAATTACCTAAAAGTTGTTCGAATGGTTTAAATGGTGTTCCTCGTTGAAATGGAAATTGAAAATGTTTAAAATTATTTAAATCGGATAAATATGGTGCATAATGATGTGGATAAAACCATGACCATGATGGACAACCTTGATAATAATATTTTAATATCCATTGTAATGCTTCAATATATTGTTGAACATAAAGTGAAAGTTGTTCTGTTGACATTGATTCACATCTCATTTTATCTTGATAATAATGATTTTTATGTTGACGAAATTCAGCTTGAATTGTTGACATATAATCACGTTTTTCATTTGATGTCATTCTTAAAATTTTTTTCATTTCATCATCATTATTGTTATTATTATCGCTAGTTCGTTCGGAATCAGATGATGGCCCATCATCATCAGCATCGGGATAAACCGGTGGATGAACATCATCGGATGATGATGATGATGATATATTCGGTGATTTTCGTTCATGTGCAATAAAATTATCAATTAATTGACCATTGGTATCAATTTCAGTTTTTCCATTTGATTCTTTTTTAGGATTGATTGGTGTTGTTATCATTAATTTTTCAAGTATTTCAATACTAAAACCTGAATTTGGAATTTGACCTTTATCAAGTTCAGATTTTTTTTGATTTCTTGAATTTAATCTATCTAATTGTTTACCAGAATCACCTTCTTTTTCAAAATGTTCATAATCATATTTAGATAATTCGGTTAAATAAATTTCAAAACGTGATAAATTTAATTCACCATTTTCGTTCATATAACCTTAAAAAAGAAAAGAATATATATATGTATGCATGTATTTTAATTATAACAAACCTTCAAGTGTTGGTAAAACTTTTTTATATGCTTCCCAAAGAAGTGGTAAAGCTTCTTGATTAATATGAACATGTGGTAAATGTGGTATAAAATCATTACCAACTAAATAACCCATCAATATCCAATCATCAACAATATTTTCAAGGTCATATGGAAATTTGAGTTTTTCCTTAAAAAATCGAAACGTTTATTTTAAAGTCAATTTTGTGTTTTTCTTCTTTTTACTTTAACTGAACGAAATTCAAGATCGATATAATCACGAAGTAAACATAATTGTAATAAATGCCAATTGATTTCTTCTGGTGTAAGACTAATGCAAAAAATTCAAATAATGAATAAACGATTATAACACAACTTACATCTTTGAGATTTTCTTTGGACCATATTTGACTTCTTCACGTAAAAGTGCAAAATGCATTTCATGTGTAACTAAACCAAGCATGATCTAAATAAATATATTTTTAAACGAAAAAAAAAAGAATAGTTTCTTGACATACTAGATCAGCATCAAGTCCATATAGACAATGTCTAGTATTAACATCATATCCTGGTTGTGAACGTGTATAACGAATATATTCCATTATTTTATGTTCACCTTCACCTGGTGTCTATATGATCAAAATAGAATTATTGAAATATAAATCTATCAAAAATACGTACTAAATGACCAGATAAATGAATATCAACACCACTCCATAATGGATCCGTTGTAAGTTTAACATTGATAAAATATTTCAATTGTTCATCAAGATTTGCCATAAATGTTGTTCCCGGTGTTATTGCATTTGTATCAAAATGATGAGAAATTGTTTCTTTTAATGTTTGACCCGTTTTTTCAGCTAAAGTTTTTAATTTTTTAATACGATCTCGACCAGCTCGAAAACGTCGTGCTCGTTGTTGATTCATTTTAGCTCTTGGTGCAACACCATCAACAGCCATAAAAAAAACTTTTTTTGGTTTTATCATTCGAAAGAGAAACTTAAATAAATAAATATTAGATATATATTAATAATAGAAATCTATGTAGATCATTTACATCAATATAATGAAATATATTTCGAAATATTTCTTCTTCAGTTACATTTGTTTCACAATTATCTTCATTAACATGTGAACATGCATGAATTATTCCATTCATATCCAAATAGAAATTGTCAAAATCAGGTATCTTTATTAAATACACAAAAAAAATATTTTAAAATAAGATGTTTTTTTTTGTTATCATTGAATACCTGATTATCATTAATAACTCGACTAATATTTGGATATCGTTCAGATACCCATCGATAGAATTTTGGTACACCCATGATGTTAAATATTTAAATTGACACTGCTTTGAAGCAGAATTGACTTTTATTTTAAATATTCATATCTAAAACTAGAATCATGTGATATGTTTTATATGTAATATGAAAATGATATTTAAACTAGGGACATTTGTCCAATTTTGTTATTTATTTATTTTGTTTTGTTTTCATTCGTTGACCTGATTAAGTAAATGATAATGATGCTCTTTGTTTAATTAACTATCGAACCAATAAGATTTCAAAATGTTCATTGTTTTATAATATGAAATTATTCGAAAATAAAATTGAATCTTTGTTCTAAAGATTTATTTATATTAATATATTATAAAAAGAATTTCCAGCGAGATCTATCATTTTAAATCTAATTCAACCAATCAAAATACAGTAAAATCATATGCGGTTTTTTTCTTTCATATTTTATTATTTATCAATTTCCTGTTTGTTTAATATTCCGTTTTATGTATTTCGGACTGATGCATTCGTCAAGAGTGTGGGTCTGATTTGACTTAGAAGTAGTCAACCAGGTCTAAACATATGTTGCGGTTGCATACTTCTTTGTTAATCAATGATATCGACAAAAAAAAAGAAATAAAACGAAGGGTTATATAAAAATCTTCGGAATGAAATTGATTTTTCTACTACAAAGTATATATGCATATAATTCACGATTTAACAATAGAGATATCTTTTCCTTCCTCCCTGTTCTTTCCTTGATCCATACATTGTAGATTTATTTATTATTATTATGAATGAATCGTCAATAGAGATATTCTTGAATAATTTATTGTTAAAAATCGAACAGATGTTATTATTCATTAAACAAAATTTTAAAAACAAATAAAATTTGTTATTTAATCTTTGTCCGATTTGATTGTCGTACCAAGACTTTGCCCATCTAAAGGATAACTAGGTATTGTTGTTATACCAATAGAAAATTCATCGAATGGGCGAGCCATTGGAACGACATTCGATAAACTGGTTTTTGTAGATTTAATTGAAGACATTGAAGAATTAATAGCGGAGACATTATTGATTGAAAAAAGACGTTCACGAAGACAGTAGCCATTTGTGTTAGTTGTCGTTAAGACAGTACGATTTATGTTATCGTCATCGAATGAAGAGAATTCTAAATTTTCTTTTTAATTAAAATAGGATTTACATTTTAAAAATATATTATACATACTGGTTTGACATGTTCGATCAGGCATTGTGCCGTTGAACAGAAAATTATCGGGAGCGTTTGCTTCGACTACATTCGATATTTCTGCTTGTATACAATCGTCTTGAATCACATGTGAATAAGGAATTGATAATGCTGTATGATAATATATGCTGGTGCCAATTGTCAAAACAGGTTTCTTTTCTTCGTTCTGCCTACGAGATGAGGAGGAAAAAATATACGCAGCTGTCGCACAAAATATGAAATAAAAATTAAAGTGTGACCTTCTACAAACGTCAATGTACTTATCTGTTATGAATATTATATCTATATAAATCGATCATCTTCGCGAAGACACAATAGATTTTTACTATATGAAAGATGATATCATTTTTTATCTATTCTATTATCATTAATTGTTGTCATCTAATTCATTGAATTGTCATATTTCTATAATTTAAATACTTAAAAAACAAACAAAGAATGAAGATTGATAGTTTAATTACAAAATATTTTTAATATTGAACGCTATCAGTCAGTTTACGATCATAGATGATGCAAGAATGAAACGAACTGATTAAACTCTATGACGCAATTTATATTCATAAAATTATAATTCTTCTTTTATACAAATTGTAAATAAATTTTGTTTAATAGAATTCTATAATAATTAACTTATTGAAAAAAATTTCTGCTAGTTCTTTTTTTCGATTGTTTATAGACAGAACTATTCATACACAATTTATTATTATTTTTTTGTATATTTTGAAAATATACCTATTACCCTATTCAAATTTATATGTATAGAATAGAAAAAAAGTTCTCCTATACATTCATATTATTCCAGTGTTATCTTTGAAATATATATAAGATATCGAGTGCATCATAGATAGATAATCATGTGTATACATGCGCATACACATCTATCTCTCTTTAAAAACAAAGAATCTTTATTCTTTTCTTCTTTTGTTTCTTCATATAAATAAATATGTATATCTATTTTCCAGTCCACACATCTATATCTTATTTCAGTCTGCATTCATACACATCAACGGTCAAATAACATAAGAAATAAATAACAATGACTTATGAACCACTTAGTCGTCGATTAGCTACCTTAGCTGCTATTTTTGCATTCTTAGGTGTTTTACTTGGTGTTATTGCACTTGCTACCAACTATTGGACAATTAATACCATTGTTAGTGAAACTAGTAATGCCACAAATGTTATTGATTCACACACAAGTGGTTATATGTGGAATGTATGTATTTTAAAATCTAGGAAAAAAAGAAACTTTTCTCTTTAAATGTTCATCTATTAACTTTGGTTTTATTTAGGGTCTCTTCAAAGAATGTAGAACAAATATGTTTTGCATTGCTCGATTTCAAGCAACAACATTCATTGTTTGTCTTATGGGCCTTTTATTCTTATTAGCTGGTGGTATCTTTTCAGTTCTTGACATTCCAAAAGCAAGTGATCGTCGATTTATTACTCCATTATTAATGTTTGTTGGATGTGTATTAATGACAGCTGGCTTAGTTGATTATGCTTCAATGAATTTTCTCAATTATCATTCATCACGTGCAATGATTGCTGCTATTGTATTTGCTTATACAGCTTTACCTATTGCAGCATTTGTTGCTGGACGATATTCAGCATTAGAACGAGGTGTCCTCATTAACAATGATGCCCATAGTACACAAAAATATTCAGCTACCAATGGCAATGGCCTTTAAATACAAAGAAGTCATTAGAAAAAAATCTCTGAAAAACTTATTCATTTCATATCTGTTCAACTTACTCTAGTTTATTATTACTTATGTTGCTTGTTTGTTCATTGAAATAACACATCTTTAAAAAAAATATCTAACAACTAGTAACAGCATACTCATTTTCATTTGTTAAACTAAGATATATATATAAGAAAAAGACTTTGTCTTTAATGTAAATGTGATGGTAATGATTTGTCCGACTTCATCATAAAACAAACTACTTATAATACATGAACATCATATCTGATAGTATGTATTAATGAATAGAATAAAATAGATAAAACTAGATTTTCTCGAGTTTCATATTTTGTCATACTGAAGTAAGATTGAAAGATTAGCATATCACAAATACGGACTATATTAAATCGAAGTATCTATGTATGTCTATCAATTTTTTCTATTTTTAAAGAATTACGATTTTAGAAAAGAGTATCATTTGAATTCTTGTATGTTGTTTAGTGCCTTGCTTATTATTTATTGTTTATTCTGCGATTTTTGGATTGTCTACATCTGAGTTTTGTGTAATAATATCAATGATAATAGTATATAATGAAATACCATTGAAATGAATATCGATCTATTTACAAATAATACACAGATCTTGTGATCTGAATAAATATCTATTGTTTTTGCCTTTTACCTATAACTAGTTTGAAAACATAATATTCATTTGAAAATTATTGTTGTTATATAATTTTAAATTAACTTTGATGACCATTATAAAATGTTTGTTAAGACTGTTATCGCTAAGATCGATAAAACGAGGGTGTAGGAATTATGTTTAATTCTCATTCACAGCCACATCCATACTCTTTCTCGAGTAGCAGGATAGAGAAAAACATCGAATTATTTTATGCAATCTCGCTGGTAACCGAGACATCGCCGTCGAGTGTATGATGCCATGAAATAAGTGTGCTTTTTTCGTTCTTTTTAAGACGTGTGAAGAAAACAGTCCATATCTCACGTATTTATTTTTTTGCGATCGTTATTTTATTGAGAACTAAAGAGAAGAACAGAAAAATACTTGCCTGTTGGGTGTGTGTAAAGGCATAGACGGAACAAAATGAATGCATTTTAACGAGCAGCAACACAGGAGATAGCATGGCTTTTCAAGATGTCTCTTCGGCAAATCTTTCGGCAGTGAACGAAGCCACCAGTGAAAAGTTTGACGAAGTTGATGCTGAGGGTGGAACACTACTACTAGATAATGGACGAAGATGTGAATCAGCAAAATATCGAATTCCTGGATTTGCTCAAGGTAGTGGCAGAGGTGCAGAATCTTCCAAAAAATAAAAAATTTCCCCCCCCGGAAAATTTTTTTCTGAAAATTTCCCCAAGATATTTATCTTCATCGCTCACCGACTAACTTTATTTCACAAAAAAAAAAAAATAAAAAAACATGGCAACATTTTGTTCTATTCGTTATTATTCGTACAACATAGGAATTCTTTCTACTTATTCTTTTCTCAGGCGGTTCAAAACAACCGAACCAGCCGAAACTAGTTTGAATAGCCGGTCTGTTTTTTTGAAGAAAATCCAGTTTTTATCTTTTAATTGAAAGAAGTAGTTGTCTAGTGAGGACTTGATGAATGGATCTGCTAGATGAAGCGGTGGTGCATTCCAATGTAACATCACTTCTTCATCTAAAGATTCGTGATCCAGAACTCGATTGCTATGAATGTGTTGCTTTAAGATTGAAGCAGCACTCTCGCAGACAGCTTCGCATCTGATTTTGACAACCATCAGAGAATAGAAATGTAGAAACTGTTCGAGACCATTGGCCAGATCTTTGTTCGTGAAGAAAGATTTCATCACCTTTGTCGTTGCAATTCTATCATCTTTTGTCCAAACACTCCAATTTTCTTTGTCTTTCAATTCTTTCAAACATCGTTCCTTCCACTCCAGATATTGACCATTGAGTAAAATATTGTCGATTTTGATATGTTTGGTGTTGTTCTTGGTAAACTCAAGTAGAGTTTGAAACGATGACTGTCCATACTGAAGCACATCCTCTTGTTGGTCTAAAACGACTTGTTGATACAGTGCTGCAACGTCAAGGCAATTTCCCATTGTTTCGAATATAGCAGGAGCTTCTTTGAATCGAGTGTCGATTGAAGTACATAATGCTTGGCAAAAATCAATTAATTTCTCTCTCAAGTAGAATGTAGAATCATCTAAATCGTGTTCAGCAGCTTTACGCATTATTGGTCTCCCTTGGAATTCTCCACGAAGTAGATCATTGTAGTTGAAGGATAAATGTGTTGATTTTAGTGTTATTTCGTCGGGTTCTTCATTTTCCCTCTGTAGAAATTCTCCTTCTTCTTCTTCATCCAAAAGAATGATTTATATTCTATCGTTAATTATGAGGAGAATAAGATTCCCTCTCTTAATACTTTTCTCTAAAATTTCCCTAGCACAACAATTTTCAAAAATTTCCCTAGTATAATAGTTTTCAAAAACTTCCCTGGTATAATAATTTTCAAAAATTTCCCCCAGTATAGCAATTTTCAAAAAATTTCCCCCCCCCCCCCCCGGCCGGGGGCGCAAAAGGAAGATTCTGCACCTCTGGGTAGTGGCTCATATTCATCAGGAATTCATCATATTCGATTTAAAATACTTCGTGGCTTTTTATTTGTTGGCATTCGCTCACGAAAACTACCAGTTCAAGTGGATTTCTCTGATGAAGACACGTAGTATATTGACAACAGTTGCACATGTGGTTGGTTCAGTAAAGGTCCCAATGTAGTTCATGGTGAATCCAAATTGACACATCTAAAAGGGTATGCTAATGCTAATGGTATCTACGTGTTGACATTGAACTGTGATGAACGACGATTGAGTATCATGTTTCCAAATGGTCCACAACACGATGACATGGACGTTGATCTTCTTCGTACGCCTTTTCCTTGGCGTTTCTGTGTTCAACTTAGTCGTCTCGGTGGTTGCTTATCATTAGTATAAATACTCCGATAAAGAACTCAGAATTACTCTAAAAATTGGTCATCCTATATTTAACTACAGGTAATTGGAAAAAAAAACTTAAAAAAACAAATTATTTTTGGAACAGTTTTGTCTATATTAATATAAATAAATCTAAGGGTATCGATGTGACGATCTACCATAGTCGTGATTTGACCTTGCTAAAAGGTCTCATCATATAGTAACATTCTTAATTCAATACAGACAAAACTCAGATTCAGGCCAAACCGATTTAAAATCAGATGTCAGATTCATATCAAACTCAAAAGAAGGGTGTGGATGTGGGATGAGATGTGTGATTAATATTAAGAATCAATCATGGACTTACAAAACGGGTTGCGATTACGCTTATTGAATTTTGCCAATTGTTGGTGAAATTAAAAGAATACTAGGTTGTGGGTGTAAATTGTGACTTGAAGGTGTGGGACGTGGGTATTTTATTTAGTTTTCAGTCAGACCCACATCCACCCATCCTTAATAATGCACATCAAATTAAACAAGCAAATGTGCCAAAAATATTCATACCTACTAACATTCCGTTTTACATGAGTATATCGAAAATTTTGGTTTACATTTATGACATAGTACTAACACGAATTTGATATAGGATTCTTCAAATATCACTAGCCATCGATACGATTCAATAAGCGTAATCACAGCGCGTTTTGCTAGCTATTGATTAATTCTTTATATTAATCTCACACCCACACCAACCCTCACATTGGTGCCAGGACACTGCCATCGAGTGTGTTATGTCATGAAGAAACTGTGTTTTTTTCGTTCTCTTTAGAAAGTATGAAAAAAAAGAATCTGTCTCTTGCACTTATTTTTTTTGCGATGCCTATTTAATCGAGAAGTGACGAGCAGAACAGAAAAATACTTGCCTGTTGGGTGTGTATAAAGACATAGACGAAGAAAAATGAATGCATTTTTTCGAGTAGCAGTACAAAAGACAGCATGGCTCTTCAAGATCTATCTCCAGTGAATCTTTCGACAGTGAACGAAGTCACCAATGAAAAGTTCGAAGAAGTTGATGCTGAGGGTGGAACACTGCTACTTGATAATGGACGGATATGTGAATCAGCAAAATATCGTATTCCTGGATTTGCGCAGGGTAGTGTCTCATATTCATCAGGTATTCACCGTATCCGATTTAGAATACTTCGTGGCGTTTTATTTGTTGGTATTCGTTCACGAAAGCTACCAGTTCAAGTGGATTATGATGGTGGAAACACCCAGTATCTTAACAGCAGTTGCTCATGTGGTTGGTACAACACCGGTTTTAGTGTAGTTCATGGTGAAACTAAAAAAACACATCTGGTAGACTCACATAGTGATAATAATATCTACGTCTTGACATTGAACTGTGATGAACGGCGATTAAGTATAACATTACCAAATGGCCCACAACACGATGAAATAGAAGTTGATCTTCTTCGTACGCCTTTCCCCTGGCGTTTTTGTGTTATGCTTACTCGTCTCGGCGGTTGCTTATCATTAGAATAAACAGTCCGATAATGAACGTAGAATCACTCGACACTTGGTCAACCTGTATTTAACTACAGATGCTTGAAAAAAAACTTGAAAGAACAATTTATTTTTTATGGAAAAGTCTTTTCTTTATTAATATAAACAATTCCAAGAGTATGGATATGACTATCTACCATGATCGTGATTTTGATCTCACGAAAGGGTCTCATCATATAGTACCATTCTTAATTTAATTTAGACGAAACTCAGATTCACATCAAACTCAAAAGAAGGATGAGGTGTGGGGCTGCGTATGAGATTAATATTGAGGATTATTCAAGAACTAACAGAACGCATTGCGATTATGCTTATTGAATCTTGTCAATTGCTGGTGAAGTTAAAAGAATGCTAGGTTGTGGGTGTGAATGTGACCTGAGGGTGTGGGTGCTGGTATTATATTTATTTTTCAGTCAGACCCACACCCACACCCACACCCACCCTCATGTTGGTAACCGGGACACTGCCATCGAGTGTCTTATGTCATGAAGAAAATGTGTTTTTTTTCGTTCTCTTTCGAAAGTGTCAAGAAAAAAAGTCCACATCTCTCGTATTTATTATTTTTGCGATGGTTATTTTATCGAGAAGTAACGAGCAGAACAGAAAAATAATTGACTGTTAGATGTGTATAAAGGTATAGACGGAGAAGAACGAATGCATTTTATCGAGTGGCAGTACAGAGGACAGCATGGCCATTCAAAATCTACCTTCGGTGAATCTATTGACAGTGAACGAAGCTACCAACGAAAAGTTCGAAGAAGTTGATGCTGAGGGTGGAACACTATTACTAGATAATGGAAGAAGGTGTGAATCAGCAAAATATCGTATTCCTGGATTTGCTCAGGGTAGTGGCTCATATTCCTCAGGTATTCACCATATTCGATTTAAAGTACTTCGTGGTCTTTTGTTTGTTGGCATTCGTTCACGAAATCTACCAGTTCAAGCGGCTAATGAGGGTGAATGCAGAACGTATATTCGGAACAGCTGCACATGTGGATGGTACAACAGCGGTCCCAGCATAGTTCATGGTGAATTAGAAAATAAACGTCGGGATGTGTCATCTAATAATGATAATACTTTCGTGTTTACGTTGAACTGCGATGAACGACGATTAAGTATCATGTTTCCAAATGGTTCACTACACGATGAAATGGAAGTCGATCTGCTTCGTACGCCTTTCCCTTGGCGTTTCTGCATTGAATTTACTCGTCTCGGTGGTTGTTTATCATTGACATAAACACTCTGATAAAGAATGTCGAATCACTCAAAATTGGTCATCCTATTTTTAGCTAAAGGTGTTTGAACAAAAAAACAAATTATTTTTAGAAAATTCTTTTCTCTACTAATATAAACAAATTCAAGAGTGTTGGTGTGATCATCTACCACGATCACGATTTGAGAGCGTGGGTGTGAGTGTGAATGAGAATTAAATAGAATACTCAAAACCACACCCTCACCAGAAGACACACCCACATCCACACTAACACTCTTCGATTGACGTAAGTATGCAAACACAAATATACACATATAAATGCATTTTAACTTAGTTCGTATGACTGCCCTTTCAGTCTAGGCAATATAGTCTAAAAGGCACATTCGCTGTTCAAATCACTGCTACATTGCTCGGTTTCTTTTATCAAAAATGACTATCTGTATGGCACGCAAAATTTATTGATTAGAAGAAATGTAGAGAAAAACAAATAATGACCCTGAAAATGAAAGTAATTCAAATTAGAATAAAAAGAATAATGATGGAAATGTAATTGCTTATTTTCCATTTTTTTCACAAATGAGGATATAATTATAGAAATATCTTAAGAGTAGAATTGTTCTCACATCACAAATTGTTTGAGGCTGATCAAGCCACTTAGCAGAGCGATGAGCATAAAATCGATGATGGCTGCGGACTTAGCACCATTTCTTCTGGCACTGTCACTACATTGAGGGAAAATTGGATTGTGCAGCTCGATCGTATTACTGTCCTGGCTGAGTGTAATCTGAATCGGATTGCCCAAAAACGCTATTTGAGCTTGAAAACTATAAGGCATCGGAGTCAAACCATCAAGATAAGCTGGTGAAGGACATTGGCCGACAAATTCACATTGTACACGAAGATAATTATTGTTCGTGCGCGATAAAGTTGCCTGTCCTGAAGGACAGCAGCATGTTCTTGTATCACATCTGCGTACCACATTGAATATACCGACCTAACACTATTCAAAAATAATGTAATTTTACTCTTTGATAGACATATTGAACTTTATATCTATAGTATCGAAATATATCAGAATAGACGCACCAGTTGGGCGTTACCACCGGTAATATTGACGTTACTGGCTTGGCACTCGCTGTGACTGTAGTAGCAGTTGAAGGATTGACAGGTTTAACAGTAGATGGGGGTATAGATTTAGGAGTTGAGGTCGTTCTGATGGGCATGCAGGTAAAACCTATGGAATATCGTAATGAACACGAGCGAGTCAATTCTTTACATCTTATAACAACATAAATTTGTGATTTCACGCCTCCGACCTTGAAAATACTGTTCATTTTAAAACATGGAACGGTGGAGCTGGTTGATCCAGCAGCATAGTATGATGGATCTGACGGATCATCCCTTGTATAAACTTGAAACCCTGATCCATCTTTTGATTGAACATTGAGAGAGGATACATATGCGACTGTTCCTGCTTGGCATGGATTCTTAAGGGAATAATGATCTTCACCATTTGCACTGACGATGGTACTACTCAAACAAGATCTGCAATCGCATGTTTGTCCGTGCAAAGTTCGAACGAAAATTGTCATAAAAAGTAAGAATACTAATATGGAATTGAACTGCATGGTTTTAATCAATTAAAATTAAAAGTTTCGTTAATTCTGTTTAAAAATGAAACACAGGCCACAAAACAAGATTTATACTAGTAGTTTTTCACATTTTATATATTCAGTATTTTTATTTGCTTTAGAAACTTAAGATAAGCGCTTGAAACAAGAAAGTGTTGTTGTTTCATTACTTCATTGTGTCAACATTTCTGTCGTCGTAGTATATTGTAGTTACGGGTGTTACTTTATCTTTATCTTTATCTTTCTTTACAATAGTGAATAAAAGTAAAGCTTTACTCTATCTGGAGGGTCTAGGTGTCGGTGGATGTGGCTGCGGGTGTGGGTGGGTGAGGGTGGGTGTGGGGGTGAATGTGAAGTTTTGGGTGTGGGTATGGATGTGGGTGCGGGTGGATGGGTGTGGGTGTAAGACTTTGGGTGTGGATGTGGGTGTGAGGCTTTGGGT